TTTCTGTGTAAAACCTTTTGTTACAAAAAATGTGTTGAGTTACAGATAATCCTTAAACATCTCAATAACTTGGTTTGACAGCAGCAAAAGTCAATTGTAGAGTGTTGTGTGGATATCTGAGTGGGGCTGATCACAAACCCTATTCAGAGCTTCTAATAATGTTTTTTTTTTTCCCCTACTCCAGAGAGACACATGATGGGCTAACTCCTGCCTGGAGTGTCGCTGTAATTATGATCCCACAGCAGAAAAGTTGTAAGAGACAATGGTATAAAGTGTCTCATCATACTTTATCGACTGCTCTGAGATCTACATAAAATAAACAGCCAGAAAGGATGGCAACTTTATTGCAGCAGCATTTCCAATTAAAGCAATCCTCTTGTAACTGCTGCACAGGTGCTATAAAATATGAACTCTTCATTTTATTCCTAATCAATGCAGCTATATCATCCTACTCGCCCCCTCTGTTCCTTCTGTTTGATTTAATTTTAGGGTATTTAATTCAGTACTTCACTGGAGATTCCACACTTTCCTGGAGAGATTACACTGGAGTTCCTACAATTTAAATAATCAGTATGGAGGCATTTTGTCTTTTCTACCCAAAAGTCAATTTTTAAACCAGAAGCAACATTTAACTGCTTTCAGTAGGCATACAGGAAAAATAATTTATTGTTTTCTAATGATTCCTTTATTTCCTGATCAGCTCTCTGTTTGTGCAGGTGTGTAGATTACTGGGTTGAAAATAGCTAAAATGAGGGAGGATTCCACAATATTCACTTCTTTTCTTCTTTTGTCAGTGGTGTAAGCTGAAAATTCTATACTCTAGACATCCCTCCTGTCCAAATTAAAATGTACTTAGTTAAGTTCCTTTTTTTCTTCTTCTTTTCTTTTTTCCTCCTGTTAGTTTAGTTTCCAGTTCTACAGAAGTAAGACATCGTTTTCATCCCTCTGGGGTCTCTGTTTTCCATTTTGTTTTATTCTACCACTGTGGAATATCACACACTGTGTCTTGTCAATGTCAATTTTTAAACCAGAAGCAACATTTAACAAGACTGTGTAGCTTTCAGTAGGCATACAGGAAAAAAAATTTATTGTTTTCTAATGACTCCTTTATTTCCTGATCAGCTCTCTGTTTGTGCAGGTGTGTAGATTACTGGGTTGAAAATAGCTAAAAGGAGGGAGGATTCCACAATATTCACTTCTTTTCTTCTTTTGTCAGTGGTGTAAGCTGAAAATTCTATACTCTAGACATCCCTCCTGTCCAAATTAAAATGTACTTAGTTAAGTTCCTTTTTTTCTTCTTCTTTTCTTTTTTCCTCCTGTTAGTTTAGTTTCCAGTTCTACAGAAGTAAGACATCGTTTTCATCCCTCTGGGTTCTCTGTTTTCCATTTTGTTTTATTCTACCACTGTGGAATATCACACACTGTGTCTTGTCAATGTCAATTTTTAAACCAGAAGCAACATTTAACAAGACTGTGTAGCTTTCAGTAGGCATACAGGAAAAAAAATTTATTGTTTTCTAATGACTCCTTTATTTCCTGATCAGCTCTCTGTTTGTGCAGGTGTGTAGATTACTGGGTTGAAAATAGCTAAAAGGAGGGAGGATTCCACAATATTCACTTCTTTTCTTCTTTTGTCAGTAAATTAATCCTCAAACACAGGTACTGGTGTAAGCTGAAAATTCTATACTCTAGACATCCCTCCTGTCCAAATTAAAATGTACCTTTTTTTCTTCTTCTTTTCTTTTTTCCTCCTGTTAGTTTAGTTTCCAGTTCTACAGAAGTAAGACATCGTTTTCATCCCTTTGGGTTCTCTGTTTTCCATCTTGTTTTATTCTACCACTGTGGAATATCACACACAGTGTGTCTTGTCAAGCTGATAACTGGGAAAACCCTTAAAATCATCCCACTCTTTCACTGGTTCATTCTTTAGTCTACCTAGATCTTATCATGCAACATCTCTAAACAATTTTTTATGGATTTTTATCACTTATTTGTAAACAAATTTATTGACTCTATACTTACACATGTAAGATTCTTTTCTGCAATGCTTCAGCTCATTAGAAAGAATTTCTGCTACTTTCTGTTTGTGTTGGAGACAGCTATTTTCAGTATTTCAGAAATTAATGGGACACAAAACAGGTAGTCATTTGGTACCTTTAACTGTCTACTATATATATATTCACCTGATTTTCTGTGGTTTACTTCCACCGTTGTTTCATATTCTAGAAAAGAAAAAGGACCCTGCTTTCAGGCAGCCTGCAGCTTCAAGGAAAGTTCTTGTTCATGAAACATATCTGGAATGTGACTGCATGCTGCCCAGGCATCGAAATAATAAAGCAGATACTCAACAGAATGGATTTTTGAGAACACCTGCAGAGGCTTTTTTGCTGTTACATTTCAACGTTTTGTGTCAGTATTGTGTGATGCACGTATTTATTTCTTTGGTGAGATAAAGAGGAAGATACTGAGACAGTTGTTCTGAACAAGGCAAAAAGATATCTAAGTAGGCAAGAATAATTAGTGAACTCTGGGTTATTACTGCCGTGCAAAGGATGGGGTAACTTTTATCTGAGAAGTACAAGCAGAAAGTTGTAGAAGAAAATGCAGAACTCTTATTTTGGGTTCACTGGGGCTGTGTAGACAGGAATTTGGTGAGTCAGCCTACATGGAGAAGGAGCTCCATCATGGCTTCCTTGTAAAAAATTATTTTCTTTCCCTGATTTATCTGATTTATTAATATCTCAGTCATGCTGCAAAAATTATTCCTTAGGGTGCAGTCTTGGGCAAAAGGTGAAGAACTACAGTCCTATTTTTTACTGTCTTCCTGTTAACTAGTAGAAAAGTAGTATTTTGAGAAAACAGTATTAGGAGTTCATGCTGCCTTACAGATTTTTAATTCAGAGTTGGGTGCCAAGAAAAGTGCATAAGCATTTTGTCAATACAATATTACTGTAAACAAAATAACAGATAAGGTAACAAATCTGGATTGATGCTGCTGCTGATGAAGTGTAGTGTTAGTAGTAATTTATTTCTTTTAACTGGAGAACAAAATTAAACTGACATGACTGAGATACAGCATTTGGGGTCTCTTTTTACAAGTTTTTCCTTATAGTTCAGGGAAGTCCAGTTTCGATGCTATGATGTCCCTTTGGTTTGAGCTAAGTGGAATCTTGTCAAGAGGCAAAATTGAGGCTCAAAAATTGTGTGTAATTATCTGTTCAAGGACTTAGGCTTTGTCAGAACAGAACAATAACCACAATTCAAATTTGATATCCAGTATAGTTCTAATTCTTTTAAAATGTGCCTAGGATTCTTCAGCCAGACAGTATAAATCCATCAAGGAATCACACTTTGCAGTTTTAGTATGTAATTTTAATTAGCAGATCTTCAGTCTAATGAGCTTCCAAATGTTCCTTGCATTTGCTGAGTTTTCATATAACCACATGAAGTTTTAAGTATCTTAAATCTTATGTTTAATCATATAGTGTGCTAGCATGGGTACAGAATGACATCATTAATAGTAAATTAACATTGAAAAACTGGTCAAATAAATAATTGGAATAACAGCTTTCTCACTGATTACTTTCAGTTGCTAAAATGGTGTGCCCATAGAATCTATAATGGGTTGTTATTGATACATTCATTATTTTTAGTTCTGCTCTAACGTTTGCCTAATAGTTTTGGAGGGGTTGGGAATTTTGCAGACAATTATGGAATTATACTACAAATACTGCATGTTACTGAATAGAAACAAATACAATCTTTCTTAGTGACATTTATGTTTAATTGTGCAGGTGGGACAGGTGGGAAGTTCATAAAGAAGATGATTATATATTTAAATAGGAATAAGTGCAAGATTAAAATTATTTTATCTGCTTATGCTTCAATTCTTATTCTAGTGTTTGTTGCCCCTTAAGTTTTAAATCCCAAATACTACATAGGTGGTTCTCATACATTTTAGCCCAGCTAATCCCACTCCCTTGCACTCCATGGCTTTTTCTGAGCAGCTGTTTTGGAGTAAATATGGCAGTGTTCTACCCATAGTAAAGTTATTTGAAATGTAATTTTTTTTAATTTAAAAATTAAAAAATGCCATGAGGAGGTGTTGAGGCCTGGTTTCCATTCCTATTTTACAACCTCAGTAAAAGGTATGGGGGGTAGGTTCCAGTTCTTAGCTGAGAAGTATAAACAACAGAAATTAATAAATCCAAAAATTTTAGGTACTGCAGTGAGCTGAGGTAGGACAATCTTCTGTTTGTCACATTTCTACAGGAGGTTATAGAAAAGTAATTACATTCTCCTCAGCAAGGTAGCTATTGGAAAAGCAGGAGAATCTGCTATTCTTGAAAATTATCACTGCAAGGTATTACAAAATCAGTATAAAGATGAGGAAGGACTTCATCACTTCAGGGTTACTACAAGAAGCAACCTCAAGGCACTACAATTTCCCTGACAAGGTACCTGCAGCTTTGGTTATAAAGCAACAGAATAAATAAATTTTGTTGACCAAAGAGAGTCAATCTCTGCCACGGCCATTTCAATACAGATTTAGTCAGTGCAGACCAGTTTTTCTTGAAGCAACGCTGGGAAGCACCATTTACTACTTAACTTCATCTTTGTCCCAGGTACAGAAGGACAAGGCTGCCAAGAAGGTATTTGCAGCTCAGGAATTGTGCAGATTTTGAATTAGGAACTCTGTGCATAACACCAGAACAGGTGGAGCACCAAGATCTTGGGGGATTAACTTAAAATGTTAGGAGCCTGTCTAAACACAGTACACACTAATTAAACCATAGACTGAAGCATCTGATCAGAATTTTGTGTGGTGTTAAAAGTGGAAAGGAAGAGTTGTTTGGAGCTTGTCTGGCTCTGCCTTTGCGTTTTACTCCCTTCTGTCGTTCTGTTCATGCCTAATTTCACTCACGTCCACTCCCCATTTTAATGATTTTGCTGATTGCAGCGAAGCAGCCGTACTACAGCCTGTAATTCCTTAAGGGGAATCATCGGGATGCGAATGCAAAACCACCCCTCAGCTCTCCCGAGGTATCACCGCAACTTTTCCTGTTGTCCCAGAGTCACTGGCAAGTAAAATGCAGGAAATGTTCTTTATTTGGCAGAAGAGCGGCACCCTGTGGCTCGTGCTCGACTTTGCTTTGAAATACTTAAAAATCTCTCCGACTTCCTCTGGTGCATGCTGGTTATTATTGTAGCACAAGCTTGAAGTTATTTTAGTCCATGAAAGGCAGCAGATTTCTTTTTAGAGACCTGATGATACTCTGCATATGAGATAAGAGTGCACTGGGGGCAAGAATATGATTCTATCTTCAAAATGCTATTAAAACAAAATTTTGTGTGTATTTATTTTCATTATTCACCGAACATCTCTGAGGTATTTACAGGCAATTTATGTCCTACAGTATGGAATAAAATTAGTCAGACTGGACCTGGACCTCAAGTAGTGCCTTGCGTAGGGCTTTGTGAACCTGATCCCCTGATATTTAGAAACCTAACATGTATTATTTCAATTCATTTCTCAAATAAGAAGCCTGCTGGTAATTTCTGCAGGCGCTGTGTTCTGCTGGTGCAAAGGACTCCCAAAAATGAGGCAGCAATCTGACCACCTTCCAGTATCACACCTCCTGTGCCCCCTGTGACACCTTTGGGTACCATGATCACTCACAGCCTCTTCAAAAAATCCTGCCACACCTGCCAAAAAAAACGTGAGGCAGTGACAGAAAATAAGCCACAAAATAAGTTTGCACTCTTATTGCTCTGTGGTTTAATTTATTCTTTGTTAACAAACCCTAATATCACTACCATTTGTTCCACAGCCCATGTGCTGATATTTCTTTAATAATAAATCTCTGCAGAGGTTAGTGCTCTACTTGGAAAGAAGTGAAAATGTTGATGTGTCTGTTTTTTGCTGGCCACAAAATTTTCAGCACTCAGCAGGGCTCAGCAGAAGTCCCAGTCTCTAGAAGAATAAATTATAACTAAAACAAACAGAGAAGTATAAAGGATTTCTACTGCACCGTGGGCAGAATTCCAGTTGTGTAGGGCACAACAGGGCTTTACTAAGGTCATGCTGCCCAGAACCAGACCAGCCTGTGAATCTCCTCTATCTGCACATTGTTATGTAACTTACACATGATTCTTTCATAATCTTTGGCACAAACTATTTGTGCCCCATCCTAATTTTGCACCTGTATTTTCAGGGGTTTATCTCAGACACTGAAGCAGTGGATGAACAGCTGCTGCTAGCTGACAGATATATTGAAATGAGATATTTATCTCAGATATATTGAAATGAGAATCACAGTTCCAGAACAGCAATTGCCCCTCCACTTGGGGCTGGAGTGGAGGCAACACTACCAAGGCAAGAAATCCCACAGCAATCTGACAACAAATGTAAGAAAACAAAAAGGAAGCGTGCGGAGAGCGTGGCTGGTGGGTGTACAACTGTTTAAGGGAGAAGAAAGAAGATACTTTTATTTTGTTTTTCTTTTTTGACAGGTATCTATTAGACTATCCCCTCTGTGCAGAAAAAGGAGTGCAGAACAGTGAAGATACCTGACTTACTTTAAAATTACTGCACTGGATCTGTAGCAGGTGAGACACAGCATTGCAGAGCTCAGTAGGTAATTTGCCCTAATGACAAGTTAATTGGCATGTTTAAATACTTACAGCTGCTGATGTTGTTACCAGTATTTACTTAGGGATAATATTTTCAATAATCAATGAAGCCATTAACACCTTTCTGGTTTGAGCTGTTGGATATTCCATCAGAAGGAATTTTACTGAAGAGATCCTGAAAAATAAATTTCATTCTCCTGAATTTTCAAATGACATTGTGAAAGAAAGGTGTGTTTTTAAATAAATATCAGGTTCCATAAGTACATTTGCAATCACTTATCCACTTAGGTTCTAATGCAGAACAGAAATAATGATTTTGACACATTAGAAGAAAGCACACTGAGATCTGAAAAGAGAAATCTGTCAGTATGACATTTTAGTAACTGTGCTCCATCCTGCCTGTAGATAATGTTGGATGTATCATTAGCAGTTTGAAACTCTCTATATTTAGGTCCTCCGAATGTACACCAAAAGTCTGAAAAGGGTGTAGAAGAAGATTTTTTGGTCAAATCTGTTTGCAGTTAATGTAATATGCAAAAAGGTGATAATGAAATAACAATCAAAAAGAATTCCAAATATTCAAAAAACAGCACATAGTATATATATTTTTTGTTTTTCTCACAATTAGAAGTTATATATAATGTTAAAATATATTTTACCATTAGCAAGAGTTTCCTGTATTGTGCAACATATAAAGGGTAACTAGTAGACAGGCTGGCTAGGTTATTACAAAAATTGCTAGAATCGTAAATGAAGAAGAATAAATGTAAATTTATTACAAAAATGCTGGAAACTGCCTAACATGTAAAGCTTTTCTAAAAGAAAAAAAAAATTAATGATAAACCAATTTATATATGTATAGATACTTATATTAATTTCATAGACCTAATAGCTGCTTTGTAACCATCACATATTTAATAACAAAAAAACCCTAATTTTAAATTTACTCTGTTTTATATGTTCTCTTGGAAAAATTCCTGATTAATAAAACTGAAGAAGTATTGCTTTTTCTTCCTTCATAATCTGGGTTATTTTGAATATGTTATTCCATGGAAAAACATATGTATGTATGTAAAGTGCCACAACTTCACCAGTTTGGTTGTAAAAATATATACTGCTATTAGGAGTTATATGTATCGTAACTGGAAGAAGCCCAATTATAATCAGTGGAAAGTAGCTCACATTCAAGCCTGGACATTCAATTTAAGGAAAACTAATAATGAGAGATTGATCTTTCATCAGAAACTCAGGTCAGGTAAAGCACAGAAACATTTTAGGCAAAAGCACTTTTTATTTTTAGAAACTAAAAAATTCCTTTTCCCCCCCTCTTTTTCTGAAGGAAGGAGGAGAAAAAAACTCCTTAAACTTGGAAAATTCCTCCTTAGCTTGGAAAATTCTTGTCCTTATTTGAAAAATGACTCCTCAAGAATTTTACTCAGAAGGAGTCAACACTTCATAAATAAATAAATAAATGTAAATAGCTGCTTATCATAATATAATTTTATATACAGATATCTCTGCTTCACTATAACAGTGAATATATACATAAATATAATAACAGTGGCTATTATATTTATGTAATAAAAATTATTAGTACCTAATAATATCTAATTTATGTGTTTAACAATAGTAATATTCTGTTCACAGACTTTTGCAGAGAACAAAGACTAAAGCTGTAAAAGAATCCTTTTACTGTAGATGTAAAAACACTAAGAAATGTCTTTATAAACAAGAACTCTTCCTCTTAAATATCTTCTATTTTTTCACCTAGACTACTCCCTGAGACAGGAATGTCTGATTTAGAGTGTATCTTGGAAGTCATACTCCTGCTTTAATCCAGAGCCCTCTGAACTGTGCACTGCACACACAAAGGAGAGGAGTTTCAGCCTAAAATCTGGCTGCCAGTGCAGCACCTGGAGCTAAAAATCAACACAGAGGTGTTCACATTGATGTTATTTTCTCTGTTAGATTTGTTCATTGCAGCACTAGGGATGAACTGGCATTTTCTATATAAACAGCCTTGACTCCTTTCACCTGGAGAAACTACCCAAAAAGTCTCCCTTGCCTCTAAATGGTTTCCATGAATTTTGGTTGTTGTCTGTACTTTGATGCATTACAGACAGCACCTGGAGTGGCTGCAGTCATTCCTGAGACAGCATGAATACACAAGAAAGTACCATGCAAGTGTTCCCATTCTGTTTTATTTTATCTTTTCTGGTTGTGGATCTGTAAGGCACCACATCAGCTTCTGCACTTTTCCGATGCTTAAGTGTAAAAATAATTAGTCATTTCTGCTTTATTATGTGGGAGAAAGCAAAGGTGATAGCCTAGTTTCCAGAATGATGTGAGCATAATACATAATTTTTAAAAAGTAGAGGGTGAAATAAATAAATAAACAAACAAGCAAATCCCTATGGGTAATAAAGTTATAAATTAATATTGACCTGCTGAACCCAGACACACACTCTGTGCCTGATCTATTGCCCCCAAGAGCACAGTGATTTTGTTATCAAGCATGCATAGCTGTAAATATAATTGCCTTATTGATTTCTCTGCCCTTAGGTACCAACATGAACAGCAGCAGAGGAGAAGTGTGCTGAGCACAGACACATCTGGCAATGCCTCAGAGCTCTGAGCAGCATCCCCACATTTTCTCTGCAATCCAATTTCCATGAGCTCCGAAGCTCTGAGATAAAACAAAGCTATGACAGCCAACAACCAGTGGCATCTAACTGAACTTCAGGCCACTGAATTATGGTGGAAGGAATGTGGCAGTATTTCCTACTTCTGCTTTTCCAGCCTGGCAGGCATGTCTAGTCTTTCAGACTTCCAGCGCTTCCAGAAAATGTAGCTGCTAATACACACCAGTTGTGTTAAATTGGAAGAACATCCCCTTAAGTGTTTACACTGATTTTGAAATTCAAAAGAAGTAATCCCAAACCCCAATTATCTTTTGAAAAAGTAAAGAAAGCACCAAATCTTTGAGGAGGGTTGATTAAATTCTCCACCCTTTTAAATGTTAAAGGATGTTATTTTTAAGCTGTGTGCTAAACACGAGGGATCTCTGATGATTCCCAGTGCAGCCGGCAGGGCAGCATTTGCTGCCAGATAGGTGTAATAGGGAACGGAGTGCTTTTTTTGTGGAGGGCTGGAACACCTTTTTATTTCTTGTAACTTGTTACAACTTGTAAATTGTGTAACTGTTCATGCATTTTGGCCACTATATGTTCGCCATCTTCATTATTGAGGTCCTGTTCTGGATTTTTAAGTCCAGCAGTTTAATTTCTCCTTTGGCTCATTTATTTGCTAGATGCCTGAAATTGTGCAATTAGGGCTGAGGAAGAACCAGATATGGTGTGACAGATGCAAGCTGTCATAGAGTCGTTAGGAAGTAGAGATAGTTTCTGCCAGCACGCAGGAACACTGCCCAGGAGGTACAGGAGGGTTTTCCACAATTATTGAGGTGGTAGAGGTTGGCTGCAAGTCTTACCATGACCCCTGTGTTTTATAACTTGAGAAGACTTTGATCTTTGGCACAAACTATTTGTCTCTCTTTAGTCTGTGCAAAACTGCCAGTTACATGGGAACAGCAAAGTTCCACACATGCAGACTTTGGTCAGAAAATCAGACTGCAGTCTGCTCCCTGAGCTGCAGAAGTTTAGCAAAATTACCTACACTGCTGGGTAGTAAGTGAAAGAACATTTCTCTCAATTGCAAAATTACTCTGCATTTTCTGCCAGCTGTGAAATTTAAGCTAGTGAAAAGCTGCTTTTCTGCAATGGTCAATGCCGACTGTAATATTACACACAGTCTTTTAGGTAAGAACTGACAGTACTTTTGTACTACTTTCACACATTAGACCTAAGTTTAGATTGGTTTAGAAAGAATGTTTAAGAATCATGCTTTTAGCTGATTGGATGTTTTACAAATAAAAACACCCTGTTTTGAGGTGTTTGTTATGAAGGGAGGAAGAAGGAAAGAAGGAAAGAAGGAAAGAAGGAAAGAAGGAAAGAAGGAAAGAAAGAAAGAAGGAAGAAGGAAGAAGAAAGAAGAAAAGATAGAAGAAAACAAAGAAAAGAAGAAGAAAGAAGAAAAGAAGAAAGAAGAAGAAAGAAGAAAAGAAAGAAGAAAGAAGCTGTGGTTCCTGCTGCTGCTGCTTGGGACATTGGACTGTATGCCTGGGAACACCTGTTGCTGCTGCTGCTTAGAACTCTTTGCCTTCGAGACTGATGTATTCATGCAATAAACAACTTTATAGCAACCAACAACTGTTCTTGCCTCTTTGAAGACCCCAGACCCAATGACAACCTCGACAGGAAAGTAACAAAGATGTAGCACTATACAGATATCTTATGCTTGTCCATAGGATCTGAGATCACTTCTAGTGTCATTGGTAATACGTGAAGGTATATAGAAGAAAATTATGTTCCATTTCTGCAGTGACACGGCAGAAGCTGCTGAGATCACTGCTGTCCCAAGAGCGTCTCTGTGAGAGCTGGGGCTGAGAGTAACAAAACAGGGATGCCTTGGGAAGACTCCTATGTTTAGCTCAGGGTGAGAAGGTGTGACAACTTCCCAAGATCCCTCTCTCCCAAATGTAAATGAATATGTGCCTGTCACTCAAAGTCTACTGCTGAGACCTTTTAACCTCTCACCCTAACCCAAAGAGATATCAGCTACAAAGAGGACCTCAAATGTCAAATCAAAGCCTTTACGGGGAATGTCCTGCTGCTCTCACAAGGATGGAAGGCCCGGCTCTGCCTGCACTCCAGCGGACAAAGCTGCATACCTCCTCCTCCATGCCACTCCTGTGAGCAGTGACAGCGTGCATGCAACCCAGTGGGCCTTCACCCAAGCTGATCCTAATAAAGGCATTAAAAAAGGAGAAAAATCTCCTGCCCATTTATTTCACCCCACAGCTGACTGTGTCAGCTGGTCGGGCAAAGCCAAACGGGCTTCTGGTGGGCATGGTTGTAGCTTGGTGCCTAATGTGGGGCCTTTGGTCATCTCCAGACCCCACAAAGGAGATGGCCAGACGTTCCGGTGGATTTATCCCTCAGTGACGGCTGGAGCCAGTCTCTTGGCCAGAAAGCTACCCCAGTGGGAGCAGACCCCATTTTAGTGGGTGGCGCTCCTGGGGATGGGACTGGTAGCCTCTGGGGCATCATGGAGGTCAGTCCCACGCGGAGGACACTGCCCTGAACCTTTTCCTTTCCTGCACCCTGGATTTGTAAGTATCCTCTTTCCTCCCTTTGTCCTCTCCCTGCGGGGTGGGGAATTCTTTTTGCCTGCCTCTCTTTCTCTCCCTTGCTCTCTGGGAAAAGAGACAAGTTTTTCTCCCCTTAGGGAGCTTTGCTTTGCTGCTACTGTAGCTTTTTGATTTTCCTGCACAGCAACTCACTTTGGCAGGCTGTCAGCTGCAAGGTGTTTGTCTTTATTTTGTCCTGGTGTCAGTGAGTTGTCTGCGACACCAGGTTTAGATCGCAGCCACAATGGGAGCTCAGCTGTCAGTTTCCCAAGAAGGGGTCTATTACCAAATTGTGGGAATCCTTGCTGGGGGGCAAAATCAGTTTTCTAAAAAAGAAGTTAAACAATTTGTCAGATGGTTGTTCCTGCATTTCCCCAACATTTTGGCTGAAAAAAACCTCACAATTTGCAATTTTGGGATTTAGTTGGGGATGAGTTATTACAATTGGGACATTAGTTCCTTTCAAAATGTGTCGTTCTGGCCATAAAAAGTAGAAATACTTTAAAGTTCTCCTATGAAATGCAGGAACAACCACCCAAGGACAAACTGAACCCCAGTTCTCCCTGTCCTAGCTCTCATCCCTCACCCTCTCACCCTAGAATGGAGATTCTGAAGGGAGCAACCCGTCAGCAGACGCAGGGCTGCTACCGACTCCCTGGCTCCCCTCAGACTCCTCAAGACCCCTGGCCAGACTGTTTGGGATCTCTCCTCTCCCCCAACTTCCTCGAAATGTACAGCCTTGTGCCAAAAATCCTCCATTCGTTTTAATCTCCCCAACCCCAACTCCCCTCAAAATGGCCCCCAGCGGGTACAAGATGGTGGATGGCATGTGGCGATTCCTGCCACTTGTTCTCCTTCTTCCCATAACCCTCTTCCTCCTCCTTCCCAAAATCCCCCATTGACCAACCCCTTCCTGTCCTTTCACTCCTCCCTCAAACCCTCCTCTTCCTTCACTCCACCTCCTTATCCAGCTCCTCCCACATCCCTCCAAACTCCACCTCCTTGCTCCACCCCTCCAGGGACATGTCCATCATGTGTCCCATCCCATTGTCCTGGCCACATCCCCTCTGATGTCACTTCCTGTTCCCTCAGTTCCCACAGCCTTGCTTCTGGTTTCCACGCTTGGGTTTCCAGAGAACGGGGATCCTGTAAACCGGAACCCAGAAACCATCCCCGCTTTCACTGCTACCCCTGTCACTTACATCTCCTGGCAGGATGGGAAAGCCTAGCCCCAATGGTCGCCTTTCGCCTACCAGGCGACCAAAGAATTATGCAAAGCCCAGAAACAATTCAGCTGAGACAGCAAATATTTTAAAGGGATCCTGAGAGCTGCTCTCTCTAATAATGAATTAACCCCATCTGATCTCAGGCAACTCAAGCTTGTTATCCCCCACCAAATTCCTTTTATTGGCGACTGCATGGAAGAAAGAAATTTGTGCTGCGTTAACAACATTATGGGCTGACCCCAGAATGGTGGTCAATGATGATGATTATAGACCATCTTTGTGGGGAAGGGCAGTGGGCAGAGGGGCAAAAACAGGCAGAGAAAATTCCCAGTGAGGTGCTCCGGGAGAGTGTCAAGGCCGCAGAAAAAGCTTTTTTTGGGCTATGTCCTGATGTACCCATTGATAATTATCTAACCATCACCCAACTTCCCGCTGAATAATTTTTAAAGTTTGTAGAAAGGCTGCACAGGGCAGTGGACTTACAAGACCAGGACGTGAGGCAAGGGATCCTCATGGAGATCACCAAATAGAATGCCAATAAAAAACACAAAACTGTGATCCTGAGTCTACCTCTTGATCCACTGCCAACCCTGCAAACGATGCTAGAAGTCTGTGCAAAAAAGGTCACCAATCAGCGCGCCAGACCGAGGGAACTGAGAAGGGTTGGAGCTGCAGATGCCCCCAGTCCATCATCCACCAGCCAGCCGTGATGCACCCCGGGAACACCCAGGATACCTCCGCCTGCTAACCAGCCTTGCCACCTCTGTAAAAAACCAGGACATTGGATGCTGGACTGTCCTTCGAGACAGCAACTTTTTAATGTCAGAAAGAACAATCAAAACCAAAATAACTTCTCTAAAGTACGACATTCAAAAAACTAGAAAGGAAGCACAGTCCTCCCTGTGCAAAGACGTTAAGTGGGGCGGGTCCAAAAACCATCACTGGTGGGGGATGAGGCTGGTATGCAGGATCTACCTATGCCGATTTCTACAACCTTACCGGACTTGACACCAAAACCCAGTTTAACCACCTACTCTCTCCATGTGCCTTTCAGGTTAGCATTGGCAGAACCTCTCCACCTTTGTGACAGTAACTGGCACTTTGTGTCAGACCCAGAAAAACTGGGAACTTGGCGAGACATCTGCTGTAAGTATGTCGTCCCTGGGGACACAAAACACGCACCACTAGATACTAACATCATCCCAGGTCTCGTACCATAAAACCTGGGGCAGTTTGTCCTATGGCTGCTGTGGGAGGGGGTGTGGAAGATGGCCCCTCTGCTTTGCCCTAGGAGGCAACAGATGTGTAATTTCCCGCCTCCCCTGTTGTCAATCTTTTGTTATCCCTTTCCCTCCTCCCTGTCCATCATTATGTACTCCTTCCCCCCAGTTACTGTTATAATCCCTACCCCACCCCTGGTTTGGGGCTCTCAGAGGTGGCTGTCCTTCTGAGTGGCTGTTCTCCTTTGCTTCCCGCCTCTCCTTCCCTCTTCTGAGCCCTCAGGAATAAAGCCTCTTTGAGAGTCACCCGCCTTGGTGGAAGCTTTTTATTCTCCAGCTATCCGTCTCTCGGAGGACTTGACCCTGTGGCAAGCCAGAGTAGGCACAGGACCCCAGGGCCTCAGGCTGCATTGTACTCACCTGCCAGTGTACCTGCCGAAGGGCCAGGTCATCACCCAAGCTATCCCAGTGCCTGAACCTCCGTGGAATCATAAACAACAGAAGACTGCAGGCTCCCCTGGACCTTGGTCCCACAGGGAGACCCACTGAGGGAAGATCAACAGGAGCCCAGATGGAGTAATGCAATGATCCACCAAAAGACGGGAGGACACTCAGGCAGCTGCAGTTCATGTGGGTTTTTTGAGGGAGAGTCAAAGGCAGACAAGCAGCCGACAACCGCATGTGAGGGGAGCAAGTTCTGAGAGCCCCCTCCAGGAGAGGGGACAAGGTGTATATAACAGGGGAAGGATAGGAGGAGTCAGGGTACACAAAGACCAATAGAGAAAAGGCTCAGGGCAGGAGCAGGGATGAGGTGACATAAACCGAACTAATGAGAACAAGGGGAAGGAGTGGTTAACTACAGGGGACTAATGGGGAAACAGAGAACAAGGATCTTTCCAGAACCAGAGGATGGTACAAACAGTGATGGACATAAACTGAGCATAAAACATTAGATGGACAAGTGTTCCTTTGCATTGAGGAGGCCGCATTCCTGAAATGACACCTTTATACAACTGTGGTTTCCCAAGACATTTCCAGAAAGCTTTCCCCAGGGCCACCTCCCACAGAAGACCTGCCTCATGGTCATGTGGACTTAGGTACCGGGGCCTGAGAAGCCAAGAACTTCATGCGGGCTACATCGAGGTGGGGAGTACAAATTCATGGACAGTCTTATAGACACTGGGGCAGATGTGACGACCATTCTCTCTTAAGAATGGCCGTCACATTGGGAATTGCAAAGCATGGCAGGACACGTACAAGGTGTAGAGGGCATTCAATTGGCAAATCAAAAAGCGTTGTCCAAATAGAGGGGCTGAATGGGAAACTGGCTTCAGCGCACCCATTCATTTAGACTATATTGAGCCCTTGTGGGTGAGAGACCTAATGGCCCAGTGGGGGGTCAGAATTGACATCCCGGAAACCCCCTAGGTATTTTGGATGGTGGCTACTGAAAAGCGCTCTACCCAAAAGCTCAATTGGAAAACCAATCCATCAGTTCAGGTAGAGCAGTGGCCGCTCAGCAAAGAAGAATTGAAGGCACTTGAGGAGCTTGTGGAAGAGCAGCTAAGAAAGGGAAACATCACAGACACCACGGCCCCATGGAACTCTTCTCTCTTTGTCATTAAAAAACCAAACAAAGACGAATGACAGCTCCTCCACAATCTCAGTCAAATTAACAACAACGTGATCGAAGATATGGGCTCTCTCCAACCAGGCATGCTGTCCCTGACAATTCCCCCCCAAAATTCGAATCTGGCTGTAATTGACATAAAGAACTGTTTCTTTCAAATACCTCTACACCCTGGCGATGCCCTGCGCTTAGTCTTCTCGGTTCCCACCATCAACCAACAAGCTCCAAGGAAGAGGTACCACTGTGGGAGACACCTATGGGGAAATCAGGGCAAGGATGTCCTGGGATAACACCATTGTTTAACTTAGGGTGAGAGACTGGCACAATTTCCCACCATCCTCTAATTTTAATGTAAATGCCCTATTGTCAAGCACTGGTTGTATACTCCCTGGTTTTGGAAAGCTCTGTACCCTCTGTTCACCCACTGGTCCTCCCTGGCACACCACTCTCTCCTCACCTCCCCATTGGCTCTTTTTAAGTCACCCCACTCCATCTCGTCCCCTGACTTCTCTCCCCATTGAACAGTTTGTACTCCTACCCCTCCTACCTCCCTTCATGTATATGCCCCAGCTCCTCCCCTGTTCCTGGCTCTTTTGTCACTGGTCCCCTTCTGTGGGAGGGGGTTTGGAAGATGGCCCCCCTGCCTTGCCCTGAGAGGCAACAGATGGATAACTTCCCGCCTCCCCTGTTGTCAATCTTTTGTTGTCCCTTCCCCTCATCCCTGTCAGTCATTGTGTAATCCTTCCCCCAGTTCTACAAAGATCTGTCTTCTTTGTATCCCCATTGGTTCCTTCCCTGAAACCACTCCTTCTCCTTGTCCCCACTGGATGTTACCCCATCACTCACTCCCTGCTCTGCCCCTGGACGCTTCCCTCATTGGTTGTGTCCTACCATGACCCTCCTACCCACCCACAGTTATATTCCCCACTCCGCCCCTTGTTTGGCGCTCTAAGAGCTAGCTACCCTCCCAAGTGGTTGTGCTCCTTCGCTCCCCACCTCACTCTCCCTCATCTGAACCCTCGAGAATAAAGCTGCTTGAGAGACACCCGCCTCCGGTGGAAGCCTCTTCCATATCTGCTATCTGGCTCTTGGAGGACCTGACCCTGTGGAAAGCCAGGTGGTCACAGGACCCTATGGCCTCACCCTTCAGCTGTGGTTGTCTGCCTGCCTGCTCCTGCTTCTACCCACTTCCTTCCTACCCTGCCTGAACCCTCGGATTGTTCCTAAATAAACCCTGCTAGATCCACCAAGCAAAGAGCCCTCTTGTCTTCCTGGTGAGACCTTATATTACCAAGTTTGGGCACGGATGTCTGGTTGGCCGGGGGAGCTGTTTGCTGGGCCTGGGGCGGAGACATTCCCAGATCAGCGAGCACCCCTACAGGACCTGCCCAGGGTGGCCCGCACCGTGTCGCCTCACAAAGAGCTAGAAATCACTAGCCGGGCTGGGAGACATGCCTGTGCACCTGGGCAGTCCTTTTCAGGACAGCTTCTTCATGAATTGTCGCAGCACTCCACCATCAGACCCTGCCACAGCAGCTGTGGACACAGCAAATGGAGGTGGAGGACCTCAAAGCAGAGGGAGGATCCTTCAAAGGGGAGGCACACCAACAACTCTGACTGCCACACAAACCAATGTAATTTAATTAAAACTGTAAAGGCTGATGCAAAACCAGGGTTATAAAAGGTGGAACAGCCATTTTCTGGACAAGCTTCTGGTAGTCAGTCACGGTCCCAACACTGTCGCTTGTGCTTCGTGAACTTTTTGTTAGTTCTCAATAAAACCTTTGTAACTTATTCTCGCTTGGTTTCTGAGTTGTTTAGAACAGTAATGCTATACAAAAGAGTTATCTCAGGATTGAAATCCATCAGAAATAGACACTGGGGATGCAGCAGTCACCACTTAATCTGCAAATACAGACTCAGCAGTCAGGTCTCCATCTCATGGCCAATTGGCTTACCAGGCTGCAATGGGAGCCATGGTCCCCAATGACACTTGGCCTCAGAAAAGCTCCCCAGCCTTGCAAGAAGTCTTGGGGACCCTTTACACCAGCATGGGACCTACAACCTGCTTCAGAACACCTTCCTCAGCATCCCTGTGTCCCTGCAATCTCCTCTAACGCAGGACTTAACCCCGCAGCCATCCCAAACCCATGCAGTCCCTCTGGCCACTTGGTGTCCCCACATCTCCATGGTGTAGCTGCCATGATCTCCCTTGACACCACATCAGCGTGTTCTGCCTCAAATAAGCTCCTGAGAGCTGCTACAGGCTCAGCCCATTGATGATTCCTGGCACCAGGAAGGAGTGGCCATTCAGCACCTCATCCCATGGATAGCCCCAGCTCCTGCCAGGCACCTCTAACACCCTATGAGGTCTGGCTGTGGGGACGGGGACCGTGAGGGGCAGCAGCGCCCACGCACCCACAGACCTGCGGCATCCCCACAGCCCGTCTGCGGCAAGGGCGGCACCCACGAACCCCACACGCCTGGGTGCCTGGGGACACCACCCTCAGCACCCGCACGCCTCATGGGCATGGGGGAAAAGCTGTATGGGATGGAATGGCCGGGTTTAATAGCGTGAGGGGCCACGGATGTACTGGGAAAGTTCCTCCCTGTCCCGCAGAGCCAATGGCGCCGGCTCCAGGACGGGCCCGCCGCTGGCAAAGACTGAGCCAAGCAGAGACCCTATTAACGCCTCCGCAACACTATGCTCGAATATGGAAAAATAAAAAAAATTAAAAAAAAAAAAAAGAGGCAACACTTTTTGCGGAGTAAGAATCTTCAGTACACTTGAATATATTTAAGCGCAAAAGTCACCATGCCCTTCCTCTCCGTAGCAGCTCTGGAGAGGAGCACATGACGTTTCCTTTCCTGTAGAAACGCGTCTCCTGACGGGGCTGAGGATCAGCCCCTCACTGCGGGACCTAAGCATTCAGTCTTTTGAAAGACGATTTATCTCGATCATCTGCTGGGTAGGCACCTATCTTTCACAAGGCCGAATAAAATGACCTCTGAGGTCCCTATGTAGCTCGTACATGGCCTGCAAGTGAGTGAGGGGCGGCGAGTCCGGCACTGAGGGGAAGGCAGCCTCGGCTGAGCACTGGAACGCGGGTAAGTGGTTAAAAATGTCTGTGGGTCTGCCCGGGGGCGGTCCGGGGCAGGCGGAGGAGGGGCTGATCCCCGCCGGCCCCGCCGCTCACACCGCCCCTCGCTCAAGTCCCGGCGGCTCCCGGCGGCTCCCGGCGGCGGCTCCCGGCGGCCGGTCGGACGGGGAGGGCGCCCAAGGGACAGGTAGGCACTGACCGCACTCGTCCCGTCCCGTCCCGGCTCGTCCCGTCCCGGCCCGGCCCGTCCCGTCCCGTCCCGGCCCGTCCCGTCCCGTCCTGTCCCGTCCCGGCCCGTCCCGTCCCGTCCCGGCCCGTCCCGTCCCGTCCTGTCCCGTCCCGGCCCGTCCCGTCCCGTCCCGTCTCGTCCCGTCCCGTCCCGTCCCGTCCCGTCCCGGCCCGTCCCGTCCCGTCCCGTCCCGTCCCGGCCCGTCCCGTCCCGTCCCGGCACGTCCCGCAGGTCCCGGCTGCAGCAGCGTCTGGTGGCGGGGAAGCGGGGGTGAGGCGGCATCGCTCCCGGAGCGGGGTTTGCCCTCGGCACAAGCATCCTCCGGGGAGCGGGTGGGATGCGGAGCCGCCCGCGGAGCCTCCGCCCTTGCAGAGCATCCAGGCGTGTTTGTCCCGGCGACCGGGATGGTGGGGCGGGATGCCGGAGCGCTCCTGCGGTCCCGAGCCCGGACAGTCTGTTCAGGTTCTCCTCAGAGCACTTTTATTTAATTATTTGTTTTTCCGCAAAGTGCCTGTTTTTAAAGGTTATCGTTTGTTTTCATGGAAGGCTTTTGGCAGTCCTGAGCAGAGACTGGAGTGAGTGTACACACTGGAATAGAGGGATACTTGTGTATAGATGTAAATTAGCGTGACCTGCACATGAAAATGCACATCTGTTTAATACCTTGATTTCGTTCCAGCATATGTCGCTCAGCAGAAGCTGCCCAGAAAAATTCTCAGTTGTGTGGTATCCTGCACAGATTTTCTTTTGGCGACAGTAGTAGTAGCGTAAACATTTCCGATTTTGTTTTTCAGCCAAGGAGTAAGTTCAATCTGGAAATGTAGGCATAAATCAATTAGGAAAAATACGCAGCTGCTTTTCCTCGAATGAGCTGGGAATGGACAGCTTTTGGTAATCTTATTAATTACTTAAATGTTGCTGCTAGTCATTGAGTACTGAAATGTAGTCAAAGTGAACGTGCATTTCCTAAAATCACACAGAGCTCTGAAGTTTTTCCAAAGTACCAGCTTCTCACAATTAGAGTGAGTTTAAAACCTCACTTGGAACGTGTCATTGGTGTAGAAGATGCTTCATAGCTTATTTTATCAAGTTGGTAACTGAGCTTTGGCAACAGTGTTTTAGAAAGCTGATTAACATAATGACTCTATATAGGAAAAGTGTTTTTATCCAGTATCTTGGAAGAAGAAAGGAAAAAAGACCTAAAAAGACAAGTCGGGAGAGTGTAATTTGTTTCCCAGCAGATAAGCTGCAGACCTTTGCTGAAAAGTCTTAGATTCTTTGATTGAGCAGCATGTCTGATGTGAGACTGAAACTGAAAGCTGGCTTCAGTTGCCTTGTCAACATCCCTAAATGGTATTTGTGCCCAGTAGCACAGTACTTGGAGGAAAGCATATGTAATTAGGTGTGTGTGTTCCTCTTGAAGTGGACGGAGTGGGGGTGCAGCTATCTGAGCTGGAGACAGAATTTAGCCAAATAACTATTCAGGCCAAATAACTATTGCTTGCTAGGTACTGGCCCTGCAATGAAATAGTATTAGCATGTCTAGTTTGATTTCACATCTCAAATCAGAAAAAACAGCTGGGCAAGTGTGCTTCAGATTTTTAATAAGCTGGATAAAGTCTAATTTAGGACCAAGTTTCTTCTTGTTTGCCTATGTAACTCGTGCACCTGCACAGCATCAATATATGGCACCTTATGAAATAAACTTTATTTAAATTTTCTTACACAGCCAACCTTGTGGCCTTGTCATACAATCAAATTTAAATGTGTTGCTCCCACAGAGGGTGATTCAGTGGCTTCATATTAGTAATGACAATTATATGCTGTAAAGGTGCTGTGGCTTTGTGCTTGGTTCCTTAGTGTGTGGTTTTGAGTCTGCAGTGTTCCAAGTCTCTGACAGAGCAGTTCACAGGACAGGCTATGAATTTTGTGTTCTAGCTCACTGATTCTAATCCATATCTGGCAAAAAAAAAATAATTCTAAACTGCAGGCAGCTCAGTGACCTGTGTGAAGTCAGCTGGCTGTGTCTGCGTAATTTCCCTGGAAACAGAGTTGCCCTTTTCTGGTGTATCAGGTGGTGAAATGGTCCAGAGGTGGCACAGTTCTCCAGGGTCAGGGCTGTGCATGCCAGGTTTGAGTCCCCACAGACAGAAACTGCACTACCCTTGCATTGGGGGAAGATGCCTTAGCCCTTTGTATATACATTTTACCATTTAGATGTCTACTTAAAACTCTGATAGCTAATGCCATCATTTTGAATGCGACTGGAAGGGTGGGAGGGGGCACTTAGAGGACCTGTCCAGGGGTTACAATGTTAAACGAGCTGTTCTGAGGTGAGCAGAAGGGTTTAACCAAGTGAACAGTCCTTTGGTGACTTGCATAACCATGATTTCCACAATCAGCTGTTCAGCTGTATGGGTACACACATCCCCCTAAGGAAGCAAGTCCTGTTAACAAAAGCAATTAATTCATCTAGGCAAAGAACACAGGAACTGTGCATTACCATAGTTAAGTTTGATTAACATCTAGCAGAGTTTGAAGTGGGCTTTTAACTGCAGCTGGTAAGGATCCCTTGAATTTATATTCAGATTACTTGGCAGGAGTTTTGCATGGTTTCTCTATATTGCTTTTTCTTGTCTAGGCATTTTCATGTCTTGTTAGGGAAAGCAAGTGGCTTTTGAGGAAGGTAAAAAACAGATTCTTTGTGTATGTGCCACAGTTTTAGTGTAACCAAAGATATGTTGGTTTTGAAAACCCAAAGTTATGTAGATAGTAGTGTAAGATAGATGTCATCCTATTTTTTAAAAAATTTATTTTAATGGAACACAGTGTAGATGAGTAGTGTTTCTTTAGGCATGGACAGGAATGGTGTAGTGAAATGACAAAGTTCTAACAATCTTACTCTTGTTAAGTGGTGTCTTCCTTGATGAATGATGCCAGTGGAATCAGATTTCAGTATGTAGTAGTTATGTTACCGACTCACTGCCAGGAATTTAATCCTGATTTTTAATACTGACAGATTAGTTTGTCAGTAATTAGTACTAACTTCATATGCTCCAGTCAGCATAGCATAAACGTAGATATAAGTGCAGTATTTTTTCATCTGTGAGAAAAATCTGTGTCTTGATATTCCAAATGTTTTTTTTTTTTTCCTTTACTTTTTGAAAGAGTATGTATCATCTAAAGCCATCTGTCAGGAAACTAGGAGAAATATTCTGGGGTGGGATTTGCTTTACTGTAATAGCTTTATTGATTGTGTCAGCATTCATGTTAATTAACCCATTCAAACTGTCTGGTCTATAATTGATGTTTTGCCTGTGTGAGGATTTGTGGTTCATGTCTTTGGATGTACACATTAAGTTTATATTAAAATGTGGACAGCCATCTCTTCCAGTTTTATCAGTGTTTTGTATCTGATTGTCAGAGAAATTAGCCTAGAGTCAGCAGTGAGCTACTAATTCTGAGCTCTTTTGATGTTCAAGACGATGAAAACACACAACAGAAAACATAATTTTAACTTTGACATTGACTTGCTCTGTGACCTCAGGAAAGAAATTTAATAATTTTTCTCTTGCTGTAAAAGAACACCCTTCTCAGCCTACCAGATCATTTTTGTTGAACACACAGAGGTGCAAGTGTGTGCAAAATTATTTTTTCAAAGAAACATAAAGACTTCATATTAGTGTGTCATTTTAGACTGAGGATCATTGGCACAAAGAGCTACACCTTCTGTGTAGCTCTAGTGTCCATCACTGTAGCCACAGGAGATGTACAACAGTACAAGAACAATAGCAAAAAATTATCTTGCCTTTTATAATATACACCTCAAGAGAAAGGCAAGAGGAAATAAGGAGAGACAATGAAGTAAGGAAGACAGGTGTCAAGCTAGAGTCATGTTATTTTTCATCAAAAGTCAATGGACATTCATACATTTAAAATAATTAATAATAGCTCTTTTTTAGACGAGAGTCTTCAAATAGAAGAAAGCGAAGAACTATTTCTCCGTAATGCCAGTTTATTGCCAATGATGGCTGGAACCAAGGCCTCGCCAAACAAAAGGGTCAGCATCTTGTAAGGGTCATGGGAAGAGACCATGAAAGGCAAGGGGCATCTCAGAGAAGTCATGACCTTAGGATGATGCAGAAGGTGAATTTGTCAGGCTGGACAAGAGGAGACCAGCAGGGATTTATGGTCTGGGTAGAATTGTCCAGGCAAGAGTCAGGGTGGGCCTGACCCATTTTGGTGGTGTTACTCTGGGGCAGTGTTCATCTAGAAGGGTCTGCTCAAAGCAGTGAAGGGTGTAGAGAAGGAGGAAGGCTGGCTCAGGCTGCTTAATAAAGAAAAATGATCCAGAGGAGGGTAACGTGTGTTGAAGGTACCTGGCACATTTATGAGCAATACCAGCGGGGAACACCAAACCAGGGCGCAGAAGAAGTTACGTTACTTTGATGGAATGCAGAGGGAAGAAGAACAAGCTGGACAGAAGATGGTATGTGAGCTGGTAGTTTGTTGTTCCAACAACCCCATTTCTTTTGGGAAGAAGCCACTGCTTCCCAAAGTTTCCTGCACATCACAGGCATTATGTCATGAATTTTTTCCACACGGTGCCTGTTTCTTCAGGGGTAGGTCCTATAAGTCCTCTTCAGAGTGAGTAGTGCTGCATTTCCAGAGTAGCTGTGTGAGACAAAAGTTTCCAGGACAAAATTATTCAAAAGGCAGTATGCTCAGGAGGATGTTTTTCTTAATATGGTTTGGTCTCAGCTCTGTGAGACTACTTTTCATTAATGAAAACAGACACATCCGTACAGGGTTTCAATGAGTTCAGCATGTTTAAAGCAGCTCTTGAAGTTTCTCCTATACAGAAGTCTTGTCTATCTATTTTTCAGAATATTTTTTTGGCACGGGAAGGGTTGGGTGTTCTTCGTGAATTTAAAAGATTTACAGAGCAAGTAGTAAAA